TATATTGGGCCCCTGTTGAGGAATTTGGTTAATCCAAGCTAGTCCTTTCATGAACAGATTTCGCTCTTTAAATTCAGTGCTATTTCTTAAACCAAAATTACATCCAGATTTCCCCTGTGGGGAAACTTCTAATCTTCAATTTTACCCTGGGTGGCAGAGGCACCTCTAGATTTGGGATTAGGAGAGTCCTGTAACAATTCCTCTACTTAAGATATATAACATAGGGGAATCTCTTAACTTCCTAGAGGCTCATTTTTCTTGTCTGGAAAATAAGATAACAATAGCTAGCATCTTTAGGATTCTTGTAAAAATTTCATGAAATAGTGTATGTGAATCCATGTTTGAAATGTTACCTGTGTTGTGTATTTCTAGGTTAAGCTCTGCTCACCCTAACTTTGTGTGTGAGTTTCAGATCTCTGACATTTCCTTAGAAAGTTCTCTTCTTATTTCTTTGTCTTCACATTTTCTTAGCCCAGGTTCTGTCACTTTGCTTTTTCTGATGGATTCATCATACATTTAATCTATCAAATTCAGACGAAAATGTTGACATTCTGGCAGTTGATGTCAGACTTGTTGGGGGATGAGGAAGCTATTTTGGGGGTGAATCCCTGAGGATGTGGTTTTCCAGAAGTCAAAATAACCAGGGAGAATAGCTGAATAGTTAAGGTAGAATTAAACAGAGAGAGAGACAAAAAAGTGAGTGAAGGAAGAGCAGAGGAAGGGAAGTTATCCAGCAAATTAGTGAATTGGCAGGGGTGACAAAAACAGTGGGGTAGAGATGGTGGTGGGAAGTAGGTGGAAGAAGGATATCCTTCACATAAAACCATTAATATTAGGGTTATCTAATATTCTATTGGAATTTGTCTGGTTACTGTGATGTAAACTGTCTACTAAGTCTTTACAAAGCTTACCAGCCATCAGAGCAGGCTTTTGGGGACACCAGGGAGAGGAGCTGAGTACAGATCAGAATGATAAGGCGTAGGGATGACAATAATAAATGTATTCATTGGAAATTAGAGGTGACCATAACCATGAAACCCCACTGGGGAATTCACAGACATCTTGGAGAGGGCTCGTGGTAAGATAGGAGTTTGAAGCAATCTGAAGGGAGTGCAGTCTATGACATTTTTATTTATTTATTCTTATTGTGAGAGTGTACATGTGCTCACCAGAGAAAGAAAGTATCTTTCAATAGAGCATAGTCACACTGCAATCCCTTTTCCTCCATTTCTCCATCCTGCCAGGATTTGGGGCCTACAAGCAGATGTATCTAGTGTATTTTTCAAGGCATCAGGGTTGGGATTTGAACCATGGTTGGCCTTGTGGGATCTGGCTCCTTTAACCATTGAGCTATGAGGCTGAACCTCCAACTGATGACTTGACATTCTTGTGACACATAATATATGCCAAATGGTAGCCATGTATTCCTTGGACGTGTGGTTTATATAAAGAGAATCTATCACACAGAAGGAGCCTGACAAATATTTGTTGTTTTTCAGTTTTTCCAGTCATTTGGACTTTTTTGTTCCTCTTGTACCTAATTTTTTTTTAGGGGGGTGGTCTCAGGAAGAACTATTTTGAAGTGTTCTCTATAGCCTTATCTCATCCAGAACTAATTTCCTCTAGAGTTCTCTTTTTGTATTTCTTGTGTATCCCCAGCAATTGCATGCTTACCTTGTTCCCTCCTATCTGAAAGCCATCTTCATTTTCTCCCCTCCAGAGTTCCACCTCCTACAGATTTCTCAGCAGTCCTTTCTGTGGGTGTTGCTGGCTCAGCTCTATGTTTTGTTTGTTTATTCTGGCCTTGCGTCTAGCATTGAAATACCAGTCTCCCTTTTATGGTGAAAAATTCTTGAATGACTTGCATAAATACTCCCTTTTACATTCAAAATTTGTGGAAATTCTGTTTACTGAGAGAAAAAAGAGAGAGAAAGATAGAAAGTGAGAGTGAGAGACAGAAAGTGAGAGCAAGCACACATGAGGATGTATCTTTTGTGGATAATATACCGAAGTGTGTTCTGGATCAAATTACATGATGTTTCGGATTTGCTCTAAAGTAGTCCACAAAGAGAGAGAGAGAGAGAGAGAGAGAGAGAAAGAGGAGGTAAAGGAATCAGGAGGCTGGATGACACAGCTAAAACAAGATTGACCACATTGTTGAAGCTCTGTGAGGGCTCAATGTAAGTAATACGCCCTTTACCTTTGTGTATGTTTGAAAAGTTCATAATTAAAAGCTTAATTAAATTCTGTGCATGGACTGTTGACCTCCACAGCCACCACACATTTTTGATTACAGGTGACTCTCGAGTGTGCCTTGTCCGCAGCATGTCCTCTAACCCTCTCTGAGCTGTGGCGAAAATCTTTTCCTATTGATTTGTCAACAGCCTGTTTTCCCTTTAGTCTAAGAGATTCTATGGCAGCATCCTACTCATCTTTGTGTCCCAGCACCCAGCATAGAGACTGGTGAATTGAAGTGAAATGAGCTAAAGAAAGCATCTGCAGAGGATCACTAGTCTACCCTAGCCTGCCCCTCCCTCAGTGAGGTGGCTTCGGCTGGGCCTGTGACACCCCTGAGAGTTCAGGACCCAGTGGAGCATATCCTCCCAGGGCTTTACTCCTCAGGAGGGAGAGGGAACTACCCTTTGGTTTTTTTTGTAGTTCTGGTCCTTTCTCTTCCTATACATTCTCCAAGTTAATTCCAATTTCCTTTTTTTAAAAAAAAATTTTTTATTTAACTTTATTTATTTATTTGTTTGTTTTAATTTGACCAGAGAGGGGCAGAGTGAGAGAAAGAGAGAGAAAGTGAGAAAGCAAACCTCCAGGTCCAGGATTGAAACCGAAGTCAGCTATGTGGGTGTCCAATGCCCTTAACTATTATGCCACCTGCCAGCCCCCAATTTCCTTTCTGATCCGAAGTTGACACCAAAATTCTTGTGCTTTGATGATTTAAGCGACTGCAATTGTGGACCTAATTTAGTGCTCAAGTTCTTGTTGCACAGTCTCTGAGCACACTCTCTGCCCTCGTAATGTATCCTTGCTCTCTAGACAAAGACAAAGGTACCCTTCCTCTATTCTTACTTCCTTTGGGTGGCAGGCTCTCATATCATCCTAAGGAGAGGCAGTTCTAGCTGTGCCATCATCCTTGTTTTGTTTTTTGTTTTTTATTTATTTTATCACCCTCTCCATGATTCCTCCCTGCCTCCCTCTAGCCCCACATCTTCAGTTCCTCTGCATTTCCTGTTCTCGGACCAGCTTATACCCAGTTTTGTAGTTCTACTTAATAGCACTCTAGTTCTGGCAGCTTCTAGGAGAGGCATCCCAGTACCACCTTGCTCTCACTGCTCCTCTTTAAATAGTTTTTATAAATCTCAGAGGTCATGCTGTGTTCCTCACAGTCTGCCCTGGAAGGTTGTCAAATGGGGAGTAGGGGTATTGTGTCCTCTTGACAAGGATTAGAGAGGTTGAGTGACTTGTTTAAGGTTTCAGAACCAGTAAAAGTTAGAAGTAGAACCTCAGTGTCCTAAATCTTAGCCCAGCGTTCCAACTTGTGCTTACCATCTGGCTTATACTGTGCTACCGTCCCTGGGGAAATGGTGGCTGACCTTGAATTTCTGTGTATTTGCCTTGCAACACTTATCTCCCTGGGATATTTCTGTCAATAGCCCTAGAGGACTGGGAACTGGGTTAAGCCAAGTGGGGAGATTAGGATAACTGTTTTATTAATTCATGCTGGCATAGCTGAAAGCTCAATATTATCTTAGGAATGTTCTTATTCTTGAAAAAGAGCCAAAGAATGCAGAGTAGGAGATTGTATGCATCCTCATGTTTATTAGGCTTTGTCCAGGGTGCCTTTAGATTTCCAGGAATCAGTTTGGCACTAGGTCATACTTAAGCGTTGTCAACCTGTAAAATGACGGGTAAAGTGTTGATCCTTTCCTTGGGCTAAACGGTTGTTGGTTGGTCTTATAATATGGAATGCAGAATGGTGGAACATGGGGCCAGCAGGTGGCCATGGAAGTTAAAGTGGCTTGATCCCACATAGCCAAATGCATAGTTCAAGTCCCAATCCAGCAGCTTGAAATACACACTGGGGCATGTGTGTGCTAAGGGCCTGTATATGCACATAATGCCCACAATCCCAAGAAGAGAATGAAAAAAAAAAAAATGGATTGTAGTGTGTCCATCCCCTTGGGGGTAATTTCTTACACCTCCACTGCCAACATACCCATGAGTACATGTGCCCTATAGCAATCTCCAAAAAAAACAAAAAAACGTTGAACATGGTGGGACAGCTAACTTCTGTAGAGAGAGAGAAATGTGGCTATTTCTTACTATCACCTGAACAAACCCTTGGCTGTTCTCGTGTGAGTATTTGAAGCGTGTGTATGTGTACATATGGTAAAGAGGGCAGGAGAGCCAGAACGGGTTTAGTTAAGGGAACACTTTCCCTCTCATCCCAACTCAAAGATCAACTTCTATAGCTCCACCGTAATGCCCTATAATATCAAAATCCCCTCAGTTCTAGAGCATTAACTTTCTGGGATACTCTGAGCAAATTTCCTGCTAAAACTATAATCCTATTTTTCATTCTTGAATGCTTGACAGAAGAGAATATATTTTTAATCAATTTAATTTTTTTTCATTTTCTTTTACCAAATCTTTGAACAAACTATGTATTCATGTGGGTAACTAGAAAAAAAATTCACTTTAAATGAAAGCTTTAACATCCTAAGACAGACAAATTGAGAAGAGTCACTCTTGTGTTTGCACAGAATATTGGCCTTGAAAAGCTCAGTGTGCTACTTTCTAACCATTGCCTTCAAGGAGAGGTCAATGTTGGTGGAAGAATCAGGGTCATGGAGAAGAATTCTTATCCATTGAGGGGGAGTACAATAGCTGGGAATTTGGGATTGTTCACTGACTGCAGAATCACAAATGTGAATATAAGTGGGATCCTGACCTGGATCTAAAAGAAGTACTGGAACACATGGGACTTACAATTTCAGATGCTTTATTACCTAAAGTCAAAAGGGATAATACAAAAGCTGTTTTATTTACCAAGCAAGCTTAGTAGACCTACAGAAAGTTTTGGTCCTTTTTTGCTAAGTTGTCAGATGCTTGAAGCAGTTGACCAGACAGCTGTGTTTTATGTCCCGGCTTAACATTTTCGAGGCTGCTGAATAATGTAGATCCTTTTTGGTGGAGCGACCTTCTCCAGAGCAGGTGTGGGTTTTTGATGTGCCATGTGCACTGTTGCTGGAAATTTATGGTTGAGCTAAAGGTGAGAAGAGAAGAAAAAAAAAAGGCATATTGAATCTTTTTGGTCATGAAATATTAAAGTAGTAGAAAGCAACACAGCTGGTCAGGGAAATTACACAATTTTGTTTATTTCTTTAATAATGCCTCTGTTCCCATACCATTTAAAGTTCTAAACTCATGGGAATATGCTTTAATCTGGGTTTTCCCTCACTAATTTGTTTCTAATTTTTCAAATTATAAAAATACATAATATAAGTTAATAGATATATAAATGTACATTCATTTATATATATATATTTTAAAAAGTGGAAGTAGTTCATTATATTTGCATCAGTCCTCTGTAATACAAGCAATTTTTCTGGTACTCATATGCATATATGGATCACTATTCCCTTTTTAAAAATGATTTATTTTAATTTATTTCTTCTTATTATTTTCTTAATTTGCTATAGGGCACATATGCTTACCAGAAAGGGACTGAAAGAGAGAGAGAGAGAAGGAAAGTTAAGGTTAGAGAAAGCAAGCCATCAGGTCTGGGACTTGAACTGTGGTTAGCTATGTGAAAGTACAGTGCCTTAAACACCTTGCCACCTTTTGGCTCTGGATCACTGTTTTCTAAGAAAGCTATAGGGATATTAGAGAAGATCCTGAGTAGGTTACAAAACAAAAAACCTTTACTTGTCAAAATATCAGAAACAAAGAACTTCTGAAAGACGTAAAGAATTAAGGCTACTTATTAAATTAAAACATGTGAAACTGCTATTTTTGTAGGCCAAAAGTTATGCAGTATTGGCCATTCCATATGTTTTAATCTAAATAGCCTGGTAGCAAGAAAACTGAGGAATAACGTATCAGTTTCAGATAGGAAAAGCTCTCACTTAGTCATCTCCACAGAAGATATCTATGAGGAAACAGGCTTAACCAGATTTAAATGAACAGACTGAGACTTTTTGATGATAAGGGGAATTCATATGGAACCGAGAGACTGTATGGAATTTACATTAAGGACAGGATAAGAGAGAAAGGACGGCTGATGTTGCGGGACACTTCAGACATAGTTTTCCTGAAAGAAGACTTTGGACTGGATGACCTCTTGGGTTCATTCCAGTTCTTGGTTTTTAAGCCCCTCAACATAGCATAAAGATGCCTAAGGATACCTCCTCCCTTAACCTAAAACAAGAAAGAGATACCTGAGCTGACCAGGAATTTAACTTATCACTGTTGAATGCAGATGCCCTTGCCTTGACTCTCAAATTAAATAAAAGGGGAGATAAACCATTCATGACCCGAAGTAGCACATTGTTTATGGTTTGTTTGGGTTCTTCTAAGCCAGGGAAAACATATATGCCTTCCATCTCTTCTCAAATGTCCCTGCCCGAGGTCTAGGCCCACAGCAGTCCCTTTCATGTGAAACTGAATTCCAAAAAGTCCTTTCTTCTTGGTTTAAACAATTAACTACAGTGGAAGGACATACACTGAAGTGTTAACAAACGGTTATCTCTGGGGAGATAGATTTATGGGCAATTCTCAGTCTTTTTCATTGCCTTACTTTTCAGTATGTTTATATATTTTTTCTTATACAATGAACAGGTACAAGTGATATAATAATTAAGCCCAATGATAGTCTCTGCAACATTCTAGAAGAATGAAAAAAAAATCATTAACATATTGGTCATAAATGTTGCTTTAGGTTCTAAAAGGGAGCTGGTGACCTTTTCTTTTTTTGTCAGATCAATTATCAGTAGATCACATGACATGCATTTTTAAAGTGTGGTAAGAACAGAATGGCAGAATATTTTGTTTTACTTAGAACCAGAAGGAAATCTAAGAGGTCATTGATTTCTCTAGTTTGCTTCCGATTTGGTGTCTTTAATCTCAACTAAAATAGATGGATTGTTTTATCTTAGCTTTAAATCACATTCAAGAGATTATGAGTAGGATGGATGATTTGATGTTACTTCGGGTAAATTTAAGGTAAGGGACCAGCAGATGGTGTAATAGTTATGTTGCTGGATTCCTACACGGCCGACCATAGTTTAAGTCCTGGACCCGGAGGCTTGCAAATCATGCTGGGTGCATGTGTGTGCATGCCCAAATCCCAAGAGGAGAATGGAGAAGGGACTGCAGTGTGGCCATCTCCCCTGGGGTGATTTCTTGCTGTCTCTACATCTTTCTCTATCTCTCTGGTGAACACATACACCCTAAAGCAAAAAAAAGAAAGAAAGAAAGAAAGAAAAACAAAACGAAACAAAAAAACCAACTCTCTAAAAAAAAGAAAATTCAAGGTAAAAAGGCCCAAGAAAGGAAACAGACAATTTTGATTTAACAGAAATCTGGGCAATTAGCCAAGGTGAGGTGAGGCAAGATGACAAGTTGGGACTAGAAGGAAGAAAGACACAAGGTTGATTATTGCTCTTAAGGCATAAGAGAGATGATGCATGGAGGTAGGAAGGGAAAGGAGAAAGACCAGTGTGATAGAACACACTTATTGCTTAATTCAGTACTGATTCGTTATTTGATCATCTCCAAGGTGATCTCCACAATTTAGGGACTATTATTTTTGTCATTAAAAAAACTTGCATTAAAATATACATCCAACTCACCATCTGAACCACTGGTAAATGAATGTAAAGTTCTGTGGCATTAAATATTGGGTTGTTGGAAAAATCACGATGCATTTTTGCATAGGAAAAATATGTCATGATTTTTCTGATGACCCAGTACATTCACTTTGTCCTGCAGACATCCCCACAATCCATCTTTGGAACTTTTTCATTATCACAGACTGAAACTTGGTACCCATTAAACAATGACTCCTCTCCTAGTCCCTGGCAACCACCATTCCACTTGCTGTCTCTATGAATCTGATCACTCTTGGCACCCCATAGAAGTGGAATCATACGATATTTACCCTTACGTGTCTGATATATTTTATTTAGTATAATGTCTTCAAGGTTCATTCATATTTTAGGTATGTGTCAGAATTTTCTTCCTTTCTAAGGCTGAAGGATATTCTCTCAAAATTTCTCAAAATTTTTATCCATTTATTCATTGATTAACACTTGGGGGGATTATTTCTACTTTTTGGCTTTGATGCTGCTATGAATACTTGTATACAAGTATCTATTGGACTCCCTACTTTCAATTCTTCTAGGTATATACCCAGAAATGGAATTGCTTGATCATATGGAAATTCGATGTTTGATTTTTTGAGAAACTGTCACATTGTTTCCCATACTATACCATTTTACATTCTCATCAACAATACATGAAGGTTAGGGGTTACTTTTTTGTTTGTTTGTAAGAGGGCATGTATGCTCACTAAAGAGAGACAAAAGGCATAGAGGTGGGGAGAAAGCACTCATCGTAGGGGCTGGTCACACCACAGTCCCTTCTCCTCTCTCTCTCTCTCACCCTCCTTTTAAGATTTTGGGCATACACACACATATATACCCAACATGTTTTTAACCTACCAGATCTGAGACTCAACCTGCACTGTTGGCCATGTAGAATCCAGCCTCCTTAACCACTATGCCACTAGCTAGTCCAAGGGTTACATTTGAATTAAGGCATTTAAGATTCAAAAGGCTCTGCTCAACTGTTTCTCAAAAGAGGGATGCCATAGATTAGAATGACTGGGATACTGATTCTGCCCTTGGGAACTATTGACCATCTGTGATCTAGCCTTGGTAAATCTCGGGGAGGAAAAGAAAATCAACAGGGGGGCTGGCAGGTGGCATAGTAGTTAAGGGCCCTGGATTCCCACATGGCTGACCACGGTTCAAGTCCCGGACCTGGTAGCTTGCTTTCTCACTCCTCTCCCTCCCCCATTCTGTCCCTCTCTGGTAAAATTAAAATAAACAAATAAGTAAATAAAATAAATGAAATAATTCTTAAAAGACAAAAGAAAGAAAGAAAGAAAGAAAGAAAGAAAGAAAGAAAGAAAGAAAACCAACAGGATTGAGAAGGAAGTGGAAATAATTCTGGCATAGATAATAGATTTAGAGAAACTGGCCGTAATTGCTAAGCTACAAGCGTACAAGTTTCTGTGGGCTAGTAGCAGGGTTTTATAGCAGCTCTTGAAAATATGACAACAAGAAAGATGCGTTCTGTTTCTTAGATTCCTACATCCCAATCTTAGACAGCTTTGAGTCATGATGGAGAGTCTATAAAGAATCTTCCATGAGAGTTTATACAACTAAATACAGTGGCCAACCCCTAAATTCACTCACTATTACTTTGTTGTAACTTTTATATCAACAGAGATAAGGTTTTATTTTCTAGTCTGAACTAAAAATAGGTAGAAACAGCTTTCCAGAGTAAAATCAGCTTGTTTTAGTTTGACATTGTAACCTTGGAAACTATGGAATTTTCATCATTAATCTTTGTAAAACGATAGTGTTTGTAGAATGGCAGGTGTTTCTTGTCTGATTCCTTAGGGTAAAAGACTCTAGGGTAACCCCCTGGGAGAAGGTATCCCAGTCGGCTATGCGTGAGGCCCGGCCTTGCTGTAGCTCCTTCACAGGAACAACATACTGAACTTGAAAAGCAGGTCAACGGAGACTCCCACGCCGAGAATTTACCTTTGTCTTGGGTAGCTGCGACCTCCGAATTTATATTTTTAGTTTCAGAGAAAAAGGCAAGAAAGTGTGACAAAGGTCTTTAGGCTTGGAACTGTGAAAGAAATTCTAGATGCAAGAAAATCAGCAGCTGCTTTTGTTTCGGAGCCTAAAGTTGGGTAGTATTAGCAGTGGCAGCCCTTTCATTCATCTTTCCAGGGTGTTAACTTCCCACTGAATGTTGGCACTTAAATTTCCACACCCTGTTAAGCAAAGTACTTAAAACAAAACATTCAGCTCGCCTCCGTGTAATTCAAGGATCCTCCTATAGTGATGTTAATCTACAGAACCAGAGAAACCTTTTTAAATTAGCGAGAGCCTTTGACAGCCTTGACTCCCCCAGGGTCGCATTTCACAGACATATCAGTGACTTTGGCATTGGTGACCCAAAGTCTGG